TATAGATAAGTGAAGGGCATTTCAGGTAACTTTGATACAATGGCTTCAGGGGAGTCTTTGTATTTCTTGCTGTCTGTTCCACAAGTGCACGACAATTTATTGCGGATAACAGCTGCTCTTCACTGTAAGCCTTGCCCGTTCTCTCTGCAAAGTAAACACACTGCTTTGCACGGGGATTCCTGTGGGACACAGAATTGATGGCAGTCTTTCAGAGATGTGTAAAACAAATCTTCCTAGAATTTCAAGACGATTCTTTTCTGCTGTCTCTCCAGTCACTATGCTAAATGGCAGCCAATCAAATGACCGTTTCATGATAAATGAAAGGTCTCTTTCATTTTAAAGGACCAGTCTTCCCCATGTCTGGCTTCCTGTCTAGGTCCCGAGATGGGGTTTTCGTCAGATGTTCTTGGCAAACGGGGGTACGAGCAGGTGCCCAATGTCGTTGAAAGCACACGCTCCCATTGCATGTGTTGCACAACACTGGAATGTGAGAACAAGTGCGACTCAAGTTGAGCTGCCTCTTCTGTTCACAGAACATGTTTCAGCAGATACCCTCGAAGCTGGAGTGATTTTAAGCCTGGTGTTTGCAGGACTGGAAGATACTACTTCCATTCACATATCCCCATCGATGGCGTACAATATACACCCGCTGCCTTTATCATAGGCAGTTTAAGAGAGCTGTTTAAGTTTAAGAGAGCTGCTCTGAAGCAGAGAGCTGTGTTCTGGTTAGCTGACGTATGACAGAGTGAGGTTATTGATGGAGCACGTCAGTGGCGTGTCTGCTTTCAGTCTGACTGTCTGATTTGTTCAGAGTGGCTTAGTTTCAATAGTAATTAGTGCTTCTGAACTGATGTTTGTCATTAAATTGTGCATGGCTAATTATGATTCCAGCTTGCACATCCTGTCCGTGTTGTTGATTTGTTTGATGTTGCAATGAATGTCTCTCTTTCTGAGCAGACGTTACAAACTTCAAAGTAAGTAAGTACAATATCTATTTTTTTTTTTATTTGAATGCACTTCAAGCCTGAGTGAAAGGATTAGTTGTAGGCGAGTGATTTTTATTTCTGCTGCTTGAGGTGTCCGCTTAAATGTGCGTGTTTACGGTACTGTCAGCACATTGTTTTAAACTCTGTGCAGTGCTTAATAGAAAAAAAATCAAATATTAACCTCAAAGTAATGGCCTGTTCTGGCACTTTTTTTAAAACTTGCTAATAAGTGTAGGGAATCCATTAAGAAAATAAAGCAAAGCCGTTTTAGTACTTTTTTACATAAAAGCATATAAAAAGTACTTGTCTTCTCTACAAAATGCCTCCCATTTCCCTCTAGAATTGCGCACTGTGACGCAGAGGTGTACTATGTCTTTTCATGGATGAGGCTCAGACTCCTCTTCACAGCAACAGCTCTGAAAGCCTCTTTATCTCAGCCGTGTCCTTTCTGCGTATCAGCAGCTGGTGGGCTTCAGTAGCAACCTGTTTCTACGCTGTTAGCAAATTTGCATCCTTTTTTGATTTTCCTTCTCTGCTTGAAGCACGAAAGACCCTGACTAATTTATGAGATGGTTTCAATATGCATTTTGGAATCGTTTGTAGACCGTAAATTAAGAGGAGCGACTACAAACCTTAATACAGTACCTGTACTCTCCTTGACTTTTTTTCTGTAGCAGAATTGTTCTCATAACTGTAGATAATATTCAATTATTGTAGCTGCAGTATCTTTGCTGCAGTTTTATTTTCGGACGTCAAATTAATAAAATACAGAATTGAATACTTAAAAGATGAAATACTGGAAGGTGTGTTATTGCATTTGAGTTGTGAAGTTATCATTTTTTCCCCAACCAAATTACTGGTAGCATAGTTATTGTTAACTTTTTTTGTTTTAAGCTTTTTTTTAGTCTTAATTTTACTTCTGGTCCCAATTTGGTTGGGGGGAAAATGATAACCTCACAACTCAAATGCAATAACACACCTTCCAGTATTTCATCTTTTAAGTATTCAATTCTGTATTTTAGGAGTGAAACAGTGTGCTCAAGGGTACAGCAGCAATGATCCCGTTTGCGATTTGAACCTGAGTCCTAAACTACATCCCGCCTGCTAATGTGACAATGATGCACTGTACGTGTGAAATCTGGGAGCTGCACTGACAAGGATTTTGAGGTTAAACATCCCTTTGGAGGTCAGAGCCATACAGGTAACAGGTATACAATACAGGTGACTTCTCTGCCCAGATAGAGTACGCCTCGGTCAAGGCTGAAGCTCTGGAAGAAGCAGGACGTCTTAGTGCTGAAACCTCATCATCCAAAGCGCCCATCTCTGTTACGTCACTCCCAGCGGCTGTTGAGATCTCATCCCCCGCCCCCCCCCCTCGGCTGGCGTAGGTGCGCCTCCTCCACACTCCCCCCTCCCCTCCCCGCTGCGGGCGGAGGGGGTCTGGCCGCGGTGCGGAGTGGGAGCCGAGATTGCCGACGTCACGGCGGCGCCCGAGACGCCGCGCGTTGTTGCCGTAACCAGGGGCAACGCTCCGGTCCGCGGCGCCTGGCACCTCTTGCGGGCTCTGTGAAACGCCGTGTAAATAATGGGAAACTCCGATTCAAAGCCCTCTGATGCTTGCTTAATAGGTGTTCAATTGTTTCATTCTGAATCTCAAAAAGACGTGCTGGTTTCACATGGAAGCGCAGCTGTACTAGGGTCGAGTTTCCATAACCAATTCGTCTAATTTGAATATCCCTAATGAAGCGTGAGGTATTCACTGTGGAAAAAGAGACAGACGATTAAAAAGTTTTAACTTGACTGGGTCTTGTTAGCCCTATCGAACCTTGCTGGGTTGTTCACATGCCTAAAACTTTTCTTAAATTGTTTATTGGTAGGTACTTGCGTGTGGTGTTGCCATTATATAGTAGATGTTTGTGATGCAGTGAGTTGTATAAAGTAGCTGGAGACAAAGGCATGGGCCATAAAGACATGTCTGCTTTCACCCCGTGTGGAGTTGCAAGAGACACTGGGAGAACAAGGCAATAAAAATAAAAGAGAGTCAAGGTCAAGATCTCCACCAATATAGGAGTACCAGCATGGGGGCGGAGTGGTGGCTCTGTGGTTAAGGATCTGCACCTGTGGCTGAAAGGTTGCTGGTTCAAATCCTGCAGCCGGTAGAGGAATCCTACTCTGTTGGGCCCCTGAGCAAGGCCCTTAACCCTAACTGCTCCAGGGGTGCAGTACAATGGCAGACCCTGTGCTCTGACCCCAGGCTCTCTCCCTGTCTGTGTGTCTCATGGAGAGCAAGCTGGGGGATGTGAAAAAAACAAATTCCTAATGCAAGAAATTGTATAGGGTTAATAAAGTGATGTGTATGATACCTGTGTGTGAGCAGCATGAATGCATTTTACTGTCTCTGTGAACACAAAACCTGGGAGAGTGCTCACAACGACAGTATCTCACACGGAGCTTGGCAGTCCTCACTGGTCCAATTCGTTTGGCTTCCAGAATTGTCCCTGGGTGACGTTTTGCTTCATTTAAAGGGGCTGTGGCACCAGGGAGACGTCACTAGGAATAACTGACTCATGGCTCGAACGTTTGCACTTGGCCCTTCCTGCCTCTGCCATTTAGCCAGGGGGGTATGAGCAGGGCAGTGCTGTATCGTGTTCCTGGCGATCGCATTTCCCTCCTCCTGCCAGGAGCAGGGGCAGAAAGGTGTGACTCCAGGTTCTGGATCGTGGTCGCGGTGGCGAAGGTCGCTGTCGGGCCACAGCCTCCGAATGCCAACAACAACCACGCAAGAACCGCAGCAGGAGGCATAACAGCGAATTCGCTTTCAGAAAGCTGCCGAAATGCGGGGTACGTCTAACGACTGCAGTTTGAACTCGAGCCAGTCAAGGTTAAACAGTCGCTATTGTTTTTCCAAAGTAATAAATTATCGGTATTTCTGTCCAAGACATTTGATTCTTCCCTTGGGAGTTAAAAGTAAGGGAATAAAGTTACTCTTAAGTGGCGTGATTAGCTGTACAGGACTTTAGCTACAGCAAGTAGCTAGGGGGGCAGCTGTCTCTTCAGGTAGAGTCTTTTCTCATTTAGCTCTCCGTTGCTGTCCTGGCTCTGGTAACTGCAGGTTTGCTTACAGGGATAAGGACACCTGGTCTCCCGGCAGCTTAAATATGGGCTTTGAAATAATTCTTGCTGGAATATGGGCCAGGAAGCAAGGTGCTGCGTGTTCAGCAAGTGTCCTTTGTCTAACAGGTGCAGGATGATGAACCTGGCCTGAACCCCAAATGTAAGACAACTGCAATCCCTGCTACAAACAACAGAGATCAGAGACGTACCCTAAGATGTGGGAGCTCCATGGCATCCAGATCAAAGAGGAGACACTCATTTAATATTCACGCCCTGTGGTCACGTGCAATGAATAATCATGAGATCGGCCACTTGTTTTACTTGTCATTAATTCCAGACACGAGAGCCCTTGTGCTCCCGAGACATAAGCCCCGATGCCTTCGTGAAACCCTCCCAAATGCGCATGTTCCGCGGAACCTCTTATCTCCAAGTGGTTCTCCCTGTCCATTACCGGAGCTGCATTTTCAGACTATTAATGCAGATCTGAAGTGGCTTGGTTAGACTAAACAAAATGCTGGGGATCAGGCGTGACTTTGTGTCGTCAGGAATGGTGGTGTGCCAGCCAAGTATTTGGAAAGTCTTGGCGTCGTCCTTAGGCTGGTGTCAGGTTGTCTGACTGCAGGTTCTCACACGTCCAAACCAGAGACTGTGCCCAGTTACTATGAAGTCAATTACTGTTCTCTTGTTCCTAAAACAGTTTGTACTTCTTGATTTGATTCTTCTCCTGACCATCTTGTGGAATATTTCAAACTGGCTGCAAACTCCTTCCATCTTTACACAGAACGCATTGTACATGTCAAACGTGCACACTGCCTCATGAACTAGTGCAGCTGATACGGTTCTGTCTGGCACAAAACATACTTTATCGGTTGTTGACGATGACATTTTGTTTTTAAACAGATCATGTTCTGCACCTTGAACACGCACAAAATTGACATGGACAAGCTCCTGGGGGGGCAGATCGGCCTGGAAGACTTCATATTCGCCCACGTCAAGGGAATCAAGAAAGAGGTGGAAGTCATCAAAGCAGAAGATGCCTTAGGCCTCACAATCACGGACAACGGTGCTGGCTACGCTTTTATAAAGGTACACGGAGCTGAAAAGCCACTCTTTGTTTCGGTGTATTCCTTAAAAGACTTTCAAAAGGGGTGAATAGGAGCATTGTGGCAGTTTTTAAATGCTGTCTCGCATTGAGAGTCCATCTGTTTTCTTTTTGTGCTTCTGGGACCTTTGCTACATTTTGTATAGGGGGGAGAAAAACAAATTAACCCTCAAGGCCCAGTTTCAGGGGGTTACTGACTGTGAAACAGGCTTTTCTGGCGAAACCCTGAACCGCCACCTAGTGGTGGTGAAGTGTAAGTACCTGTCCCGGAGGTCTTCTTGAGCCAGATCTTTCTAATCTGAAGCACGGGGCCTCGCAAATCAACATTACCCAGCCTGAGTCTGACCCTGGAATCAAAACCGCAACAGAAATTACAGCTGTAGTGGTAGGGAAATACATTCTAACAACTGGAAGGAGGCCATTCGGTATTGGCAGTAAACCCCAAAAGTATTTTCCGGCTTTCTGTGCAGTGATCAGTGTTTTGCTGTGTGGGAGGTTGTGACTTGACATGAGCTGAAATGTTAGAAACCCCCCCTTCTACTGCCCCAGGGGGATGCTGGGACAGGGAAGGGATACTTGGGCAGGCACTGGAGGGCACAGGCTGTCTTGTAGGGTAGCGAGGGGTATCGAGTGATGTTGAACAGTAGTGCTATTAAAGCTTTGTCTTTGTTATGTCATGCATTATTTATATAAAGCAAAATTCTTGAATTAATCTCTTATGGTTACATTTACCTCGTAAATGGTTTTGTGCAGAGGCTCCACTTTAAATGCATTTAGTGGTATTAACGTAATTGTGGATAGAACAGATTTGTGCCAATCGTTAATATTGAAGTGTTGCATCAAGCTCACATGAACATTGTCCCAATTATACAGGCGACGGCGAGGTAGCAGAGCTATTCCAGAGCAGGTAGATTAATGAGGAAGGATATCCTGCTCCTGCTGGGTGGGTAGTTGAGCACCGTCAAATCAGCCTGCCAGCACTGGGGAAAAATGGGAGGAGACTTTAGAACCCAGAGAAATCCCACATACTTGCTAGGAGAACATGCAAACTCCACGCAGAAAATCCCTCAATCCAGAACTGAACTCAAGACCACAGTTGCGAGACTGTCACCCCACCGCCCACTGCCAGCAAGAATAACAAAGTATCTGTTCATCATCAAATGATTGTTAATGCTATATCTATTACAACATAACCCAAAGCATTAAGCTTTAAAAAGCCTTAAAAAAGGCCTAGATCAACTCCGTCCTGTGTTGCAGTTGACAAATGGAAACGTGATGCTTCTTTTGTCCTGGGCGAATCAATCCAATCAGATGAAGAATGCCATGTCAAGGAAATCAATTGCTTTGATCAGATTTCCTTTGACTTAAATAATGGGTTGAATGCAGGAATTTGACAAAGGATGACGTGTGGATAAGTACTGCTTGGTATTCTTGATGAAGATCGGGCTCTTCAAGTGTTGCTTGTCCCTTCTGTTTGCACGAGTGAAACGGCTCACCTTGCGTTCTGTCTAGTGTTCTGCATCTTTACCATTAGGTGTCGGTAAGTATTGGTCTGACCTTTTTGGTAAATCTAAGAAACGTTCAGACAGAATGCAGCTGAATTATTTATCACAAAAATTATTAGCTGCCGCTAGTGGTGTCAGTGGAGCAGCAGGTGGCGCCGTTGCCTCAGGGCCAAAAGGTCCGAACCCATGCTCCAGTCTGGCGAACCAGGCAGGCGCCGCCCTCCGGATGAGATGCTGATCGAAGGTCCTGACGGTCGGGCCCCCCTGGCACTGTTTGGAAGAGTAGGGATGTTAGCTCTGTGTCCTGGCTGAATTTCTCTCTGGGCTGTACAGTCTGGCCTCCCCAACATTGCCCCCTTACCTCCACCAGGGAAGCGGTTTCCTCACTCCTTCACTGGGCCCGCGGCGTAGCAGGGCTGCAGTTGCAGAAAAACTGCCTAGGGGGGGCGCTACTCCACCTGTGTGTCCCTCTCTTCGGTGTCTGTGGAGATGAAAAGCGCTCCACGAATATTAGAATTAGCCACCATGACACGCGCGCGCGCGGGGGCTAACGGTTCTCGATGACTCGATTTCCAGCGCATAAAGGAAGGCAGCGTGACGGACGGGGTCAAGGTCATCTGCGTGGGCGACCACATAGAGTGCATCAACGGCACGAGCATCGTCGGCACCCGGCACTACGAGGTGGCCAAGATGCTGAAGGAGCTGCCCCGGGGACAGACCTTCACGCTGAAGCTGGTGGAGCCCATGAAAGCTTTCGGTAAGTAATGCGGGCCTGAAGACCTGCCAAGCGTCTTGCTAGTGATTGGGCGTGACCGTCTGGCTAGAGGTTGGGCTCAGTATTGTGCTCGCAGAGCGGAGACACGTTTCTCCAGGCACTTAGCTGCTCCTTCGCTTTTGCCTGCAGAATGTATCTACAGCAGGTGAAAACTGCTGCAAAACAATGTGTGGCACTTGCAGTATATGTCCTGAAGGTGGCGCAATGCTCTAATATTCAGAGAAGGGTCCTCCACCCACCTCCCCCTTTCCTCTCCACACCCCCCCCCACCCAGTTTACGCACAGCACTGCTCCTAATAGCTCGGTTTCCAGGAAACCGAATTCACAGCACCCATGCTGTTCTGAAAAGTCTGGACTGGAAGGAAAAGAGTTCCGTAGGAGGTAAATAACTACTGAAATAGCTCTGTACTGTGAACTTCATTACCTTAATTTGGTATGGAGGGACAGTGTATGTTCCTTGTACAACATCCAGGATGTACGCATCCACAGAACATCCACGAAAATGATGCGTGATGTTTTCGGAAGTATTGCCGTTTTCTCTCCAAGATAGTGCAAATGTCCAAACCCGCTCATGACGGAAAGATACTCTTCGACACTTCGGGGATTATTAGATTTTCTCAGGTTTCAAAGTATATTTTTAAACACATTCAGGAATCCAGACTGTACAGTAAAAACAGGAGCTGGGCAGGTGAACAGTGTGTTTTAGAGTGTGAGTTTGTTCTTACCAGTCTACACACGAGGGCTGTATTTTAACACTAATTTGATGCCATTTATCCAAGGCTGTCCAGTGCTGGTCTTCAATGTCCTCCTTTAAATGACAGGATGGTCATGAAAACCATGGTTTTTGTGCTTGAAAAGCTCATTAAAAGAATTCTAAAGAAGAAGTTGCACCCCCCTACATTAAATTCTAAAGAAAGTTTGTACATTTACAATATTTACATGCCTTTAAAACAAGAACAACTATACAAATCCTGCTATTTTTAGAAAGTAAAATATTTTTAAAAAATGCAGTAAGGGGCTAAATGGCCTGTCCAGTCCTTTAAACTTTCATCTAGCCCAACACCTTCCCAGCTGGGAAGAAACAGTCCAGTTAGAACAGTAATTGATCAGGCAGGTTGTTCAGAGCTGAGCTCCCTGCAGAGATGGCACCCCCCCTAGGATGCAGGAAGCCCTGCTGATCTCCTGACGGAAAACAGCTGTTGATGCTCTGCTTAAGAGCACGAGGAGAAAAGAAACGATTTGCAAAGGTGCTAGATGGCTGCATCACAGCTCTGGGGCAGATTGAGCTGCAGTACATGAACCAGAACATATTTTGCTGAGCATAGAACCCTGTTAACTCTCATTTTCTTGATTTGTTTCACTTTGAAGCTTCTGGGTGGAGAAAAGTTATAGGCATTGGAAATTGAACATACCTTTTTGTGCCTTAGCTGCTTACTCAGTTAACAATATTTGGTCAAATTGTGTAACTTGTAAATTAGATTGCACCTGCATTTGTCAAAGTACACTCTTGAGATTGTGCTTCCCACAGTTAAATTATGTATCGAAAGTGTTTGTAGTTCTAGTTGAAAGCTGCTGAATGAAGCCGTGTATCTGAATCATCCCACAGGATGTTGTCAGGATTCAAACCTTTGGAAGCTCAGGAATGCTGCGTTAGACACCATGCAAACATTCTAATCTCTCTCCATCTATCCAGAGTTTTTTTTTCTGCTGATTCAGAGGAAGGACATGGAAATTTCTTGAGTTGATAGGAATTCTCTTATCTATACAGTTTCCTTGGTAAACCCTTTTCCATGTTATGTATTGTATGTTGATTTAGCTGTAGTGATGAGTTTTTTTTTCTTTCCGACACAGTCAGAAAGGGATTAAAAGTGGGCTCTGCAAGCAAACGTTACGCAGTAAATGAAAATGATCAATCAATGATCACTTCTTCTTGATCACTATTACATGAGATTTGTTTCAGTCTTGTAACACGGATACTGCAGCCTCTGAAGTGGACTGTACAATCCGTATCCACAACCTGAAGCCCAGAAAGCTGAAAGCTGAAATGAAGGCTGCACTTGACTGGCGATACTGTGCCAGTTCCTCTGCAAACAATTTAGGCCACGTTGTCTGAAGCTGTCAGCCTGTTTTATGTGGAGATGTCACACTGCTCCCTTTCTCTGCCTGTTTACAGCTCCTCCAGCAGGAATGACTGATAAATGCTGCTGTTTTATAGCCCGTGTCTTTTGATACTGAAATGTTGCATACTGCATCTGTGTTTAGTTGTCCCTGCAGCGCTATAAACTGACAATGACACTAAATGCTCCCCAATCCACCACATGCACAAGAAAGGGCTAATTTGGTTGAAGCGATGGCTGGTTGAATGACGAGGAAGAAATGCAAGCACAGGGACTGGTGTGTTGAAGTGCTCGTCTCATGAGTGGGTTTTGAAATGCTAGTGCTTGGTGTACCACTGTGTAATACATGTCCAGGTGGCAATGAACCCTCTGAACCTCCATTCCTATCGCTTCCTTTTGTGCAGGCGGCTGCCAGTAGCCGTTTCACTTTTTTTCGGAAGAAAAAAAATGAAAACTGTTATTTAGGACCATCTCTATTATAGAATTGACGCAATTCAAGTAATCGGAGACTTAAATAATTGGGCTTTTCAGGTAAGTCCGTTAACGTTTTCAATACACAGTCAGAGGAAACTTGTTTCGTTGGCCATCTTTTTATGTTCCTGAGGCTATTTTTCGTATTTTATTTTTATTTGATCATTTTCAGATTTATGTGCTGTTCCTGTGACTTATCACGGGATGGGTTCACCAGTTCAAGGTAACCCAGCTCATGACCTGTAAGTGAGACTGGACGTCCTGTCTGAGCTCAGATCATTATGGCTCATCACAGGAAAGCAGACTATTTCAACTGCAACATAGCTGAATGTTTTATTTGTGAAACCATCAGTATTTGTGTGCTACAGTTACAGCCCTGGGCTGGATATTGTGTTGCTGTGGAAATGCGATCATGGGGAGAATACTCGTATGACTGGTAGTTTTGTGCGCTTCTACATGGAGCGTGACACAATTGATAATTAAACCCAGCAGGTGTTAAATGTGAATAGTTGTTGTGACAAATTTATCTGCATGTATCCAATTTCAAACAGGATAGAGTGCCTCTTCTATGACTAGAAAATTAATATAGTTTTCCATTGCTCTATAAAAATAAATGAGCATTAGTTCCCTAAATTAAAAAAAAAAGTCTGTGGCTTACAATTGTTCATTAGTGCCTGTTCCTGGTGATCACTCCCTTGGAGCCTAGATAAGATTGGATTTTCCTGTGTCAGGAGACCCAGCCCTTTTAACGAATGTAACTTCTACGCTGCCTGAAGTGTGGGGCTTTGTGCCTGTGAAGGAAGAGTGATCCTTAAGCGTTTCTGCTTGAATAAAAGACTCACACCTGCCTCAAAATAAAAAATGCTTTTACAGAACAGCATAGTTAATGGTTAAATGGCAATCTTCAAAGAAATAAACATTACACTGTGTACAGGAGCTCTGAGCTGAGCCTGTTGGATTGTTTTCTGCTTTCAGAGGAGATTATGTTGCAGCAATACAGCAACAGTGAGTGATTACTGACCCTTCTCTTGTGGTGCGAGTTTATTTCTCTCTAGTCTCTTTTAGAATGCAGATAAGGTGTGTGATGGGACTAAAATAGCTCACCATTCAATATTTATGAATTAGGTCTTGATCTGCTTCAATAGCCTTGTCTTTTAGATGCTTGGAAAGCTAAAACACTTTAGCATGTTCAACTAATAGCTTTATTTGTATTCAGAACAGAATAACCGCTCAGATGTCCAGCATCTTTCTCTTAAGTTAATATTTTCTGACCACATTTTTTTCTTAAAATGGCATTCCAGTCTGTACTATTTAATTATGCTTAAATGCCCTTGACAAGACTTACTGCAGTAGTTATTTGTATTTTCTGGTACAAGTACAGGTCTTCATTTTCATCTCAGTAAGATATGGTGAGATTTGTAAGAAAATAGCTTGATATTAAATTATCGATTTAAATTATTTGAATGTATTTTTGCAGTGATAATGCTTTAAACCTTCGTGCTGAATGTTAGCCCAGACTAGTTTGTTTTTCTTTGCTTAGCTTGGATGTAATTTGATTATAAAGGAATGTTCTACATTGATGATGGCAGGAGACATTGTTTAAAAGTGGCCAAGCATTTCCAAAACAGACAGGCAGTTTGATAAGTCAGTGCCGGTCTGTCATCTGCTGTCGTTTGTCATGAGCTGTTTCATGAAACGCTGGGGGGATAAAACAAAGTGAAAAATGTTTGTTGCTTGCACATTTTATAACACTTCTTCCTAGTTTAAGGATATAATGTTATTATTGAAGAGTGACATTTAGAGGCAGTCTCAAAGAAGAAGATTAAACTGTAAAGTGTTTGAATGTGCAGGCTGTTGCAGAAAGAGGGGAGGGGAGGAGTGATTAAACTGTACTTCGGCTTTTCTAGCATTCAAGGAGTTATGAGCAATTCTGAGCCAAGATTAAGGGTCAGTTTTCATACTGGTTTCAGGCTGTCCCTGCCTCTGTAGGAGAGTATTCTACATGCCATAATGGGAATCCTATTGTGACATTAAGGAGCAAAAACATATTATGTTTATTTATAAAGTCTGATCTGTTGAAGCAACACACTTGTGTTCTGGGGAGGGAGGGTAATTGCATTTTCCTTGAGGTATACTCAAAGGCAGCTCATTAAGACTGAAGTAAAACTGATGCCTTTAAATGGGATGGCTGTGAACAACTCGCAATGTAAGAAAAAATCAACCCAATTGCTGTCTCAAAAGTGTATTAGTGAGACAAAAGATTTTCAACTGAGTTTTCAACCTTTCAAAAAGATCCAATAGCTGGAATCCTTAATTAAGTCAAGTCATTTATCCGGACTTGCTGTTAATGTAGATATGTTTAAAACCGGTTTTGCACAAGGAAAAGCTGGACTTAGGTGGATGTTTATTTTGTGACCTGAGTCTTTGGATACAGCAGGTCTTTCCCAGCCAAAGTCCTGTGGGTTTACAGGTAGAATGATTAAGCGTGTTTAACTGGACTGATCAGTGATGTCAAGGGTACAGTTCAGTGAGACCGAGCTCAGCTGCAACAGACTTTCCATCGCGAGCTAAAAGGAGCAGACCCCTGACCTGGTTTCAGCACCGTGTAAAACGTGCAGCTTCCTCTGAACCGTATTGCCTGCTAGTCTGCTCCCGAGCGTGAGTGCTCCTTCATGGGCAGAGACTCCGGAGCATAGAGACTCTTTGTGACGTGCTTTTGTTTGGCGCAGAAATAATGCGGGCCCTTTTATGCTCCATAGATTCTAGGATGTGGATTTTTTTTCCTCCCTTGAAAAGCACATTTTCATTCGGCGTGACTCCTAAGACCTTCTACTGCTTTTAAGTTTTTGCTCTTTCGCGAAATGAAGTGTGAGTTTCTCACAGTTGCGGTGCCGAATCACTGTATACACAATACCAAGTGTGTACAGTACAACCACTGCTGTACAAAATTTGCTTTGCTCTGTAGAATAAGTTATGGTTGTGCATTCAGGCTTTATTCCTCTTTGTCATTCAAACACCTATCCTTCTGACAAGATAAACCCAAATCTTGCACATTGGTGACGCAGTAGTTTGTCCTTCACTCCGGAGGCAGTACTTTATTTTGTTTTTTTCCTCATGAGAACATAAAACTTACGAATGAAAGGAGGCCCTTCATCTCCACTAGCACAATTGGTTTTTACTATTATCCGGAGATCTCACCCAGGTGAAAGAAGCAATGATAGTGGTTTTGACAGCATGGCTGAACAGCTTGTTCCAGACTCCCACAACCCTGTGTGTAAAGAAGTGCCTCCTGTTCCCCATTTCATTTAATTTGTTTTCAATGTCTTTTTTTGTCTTGGAGACAAATTTTCAAAAGTAACGTTTGTTCTAGTTTCAAATCAAATTGATTTTTTTTCCCAAGTCAGAATGTTTTTCGGGGATCATGGCCGTATATCCAAAACTGTCTAATATCACTAATACCTCTGAAATCAGCCCATACCATACAAACTCTGGGAATTTTTATCTAATATACTACAATGTTTCAAAGTAAGCTGTCTGAATTTAAAACTGATAAATATTAAATACAGAAAGCAAGACTCACACAAAAACATCTGCTTTTGCATTTATACTTATTTTTCTGATGTTTGGGTTGTTTGAAGCTACAGTATGTGCCTTTTGTATTTTTTCCTAAATAGAAGTGCTGTACTTGCATTGTTCTATTTGTGGTCTGGTTGTTATTATTTCATCCCATTACGTAAAATAAGCAACTTGTTCCTCTGGACTAAATTGTAGTTTTTCTCAGCACTTAGATGGAGGTGCTTAATCCTTTTTTTTTTTTACTTCAAGAGATGTGCATCATAAATCAAGTGAATACAGCACAAAGAAAGGCCAAGATGACTTCAGTCTTTAAGCAGATGGTTTGCTGGCTTCTGTTTTTAGAGGCTTTCAAGACTTAACTCACTTTGTCTCGTTTTCTGCTGTTCAGCAGTAACATGTTTTCTGGTCTGTGAAACAAGGCAAGTTTTTTTCAGGAGCTGATATTTAATAAATTGGATGCGATTCTCTTTTTTTTTTAATATCGCTGTTGTTTCAGCAGTGTCTTGCTTAATTGCCTCTCTGAAGTGTCATGCAGTGTGACAACTGGCTATCGCAAAAAAAAAAGGGGTTCTCTTTTGTACCAACTCTTGCCTTCAAAGATAGTCTTGTCATTTTAAAAGTGGGCAGAAGTGGTGTGTGTGGTCTTACTTGAAAAACCCTTTTGTAAGAAGGTTGCACGGGAGAGCCATTCAGCCTAGCCTATTTAGTAGTTAGTATCTACAGGATCAAAGGATCTCTTCCAGTTGTTAATTGAAAGAAGCCAGATATTCGGCTTCAGCTACGTGGCTGGGTCGCTAGTTCCCTAGTCCGATGATGCGTGAAGCTTGCCCCAGAGTATCAAATAAGAATTGCCTGTATAAACAGGGTGCTCCAAAGTGGGGTTGAGAATAATCCTTTAAACAGCGAGGGAAACCTGAAAATAAAACTAAAAGTTCAGTTTGGGAGCCAGAAAAGTTAAAAACTAAAAATTAATGGCACGCTCGCCACCTGTGGCACCCCAGTATTGGTGCTGTTGCTTCAGCTTATTCTGTAAACGCTTGACCGTAACCCAAAGTGCGCTGTATCTTCGATAGAGTTTTGAAAGCTCATTACGAGAGGCCAAACCCATCTCATAGTTAAGGGTTTTCTTAGCTTTGCTCCGCTTTGGCTCAGAAGGCAGCCGGAGGGGGCCCGGGCGTGACATCGGAGCGTGCCGCCAGCGCCCCCCCGCCCCCCACTCAGCGATGTCTGTCCTGTTTTCTCCCCATGGCAGAAATGATCGAGCCCCGGTCCCGAGGCGCGAAGCCTGGAGGAGAGAACAAGATCGGCACGGGCCGAGGGACGCTGCGCCTGCGCTCCAAAGGCCCCGCCACCCTGGAGGAAGTCGTAAGTCGGTTTTCGACGGGCTCAGAGGAACGAACGCTCGGGTGATAACAAAAGGCCGTGATCTGCGCTCGCCAATGTCTGAAATCTTTTTTTTTTTTTCCCCACCAGCCGACGGAGTTTGAGGAAAAAGCCGTGAAGAAAGTGGACGACCTCCTGGAAAGCTACATGGGAATCCGAGACACTGAGTTAGGTGAGCTGATGCGACCGGCCGACGTGATGATGAGGGTTTCCTTTCATCCGTAAGCTACCTGCCCCCTCTTGCTCGCTCGTTTTAAAGAAACGTGCCTGGGCAGCTCCAGAACCCCACCACTCTTGTGGTAAAGTAGAGTTTTCCCGTTTCTTTTCCTACATTGCTTTCCATCGGCATCCCTGGGTGCTTTCTTTAAGGACCACTGTGGAGTAGCTCTTGCAGGATTAGCGTTGTCATTACCCGTCACGCCTGTGCTCGTCTTAAGCCCCCTCACAACCTTCCCTGTTCTGAGAATCGCCCCTCCGTTCAGAAGTTCTGGTTCGGGGCTGGTTAAGCAGGCTGGTGACCCGGGACTAGAACTTGGATCCCCCCCAGTGAGAGGGCCGTCGTCTCCGCCTGTGGGCCGCCTGGTGCCCCGCTGCTCTCTCGGGCCTTCCTGCCCCCTGGGGTCTAATTTCCGGTCTCATTTCCGTCAGCTGCCACCATGGTGGAGGTGGGGCGGGACAAGAGGAACCCGGACGAGTTCGCCGTGGCCCTGGACGAGGCCCTGGGGGACTTCGCCTTCCCCGACGAGTTCGTCTTCGACGTCTGGGGCGCCATCGGAGACGCCAGGCGGGGCAGACTTTAACACGGCCGGCTCTGTAAATGCTTCAGAGAGGAAGGGGGGAGGGAGGGGAGGGTGAAATTTATATTAAAAAAAAAAACAGTGTTTTGGGCTGTTTTTAAATAGAGGTTTTTATAGCTTTAGTACAGGAAATAACTGTGCTTTAAGGACAGATGTATTTGTAACCAAGATTTTTTTTTTTTACAGTGTTTTAACTCGAGCTTACGTTTCATGTAAGGGCTTCACGTCTGCAGCTCCTTCCCTGTAAATGATCTCCTTTCCCCGTCGGAATTAGTTGTCTGTGAGGAAGGTGCACAAAGATTTGATTTACCTTACTTTACTGCGGCGCGGAGCGGTTTTTGAAGCTTCGGAGTGTCTTTGTGGGGAACAGTAGTGGCATTCAAACGAGAAGCCTGCACGACTGGACAGTCTTCGTTCTCTGCAGGCGCTGCCGAAATCCTGGTCATAGAACGGCCACGGGGTGTCTAGACAGTCTAGAACATTCCTCTTCAACTCCCTGTAGATTTCACCAGGGAACCCTGCGCCCCGTCCCTTCTGACTTCGACAAAGTACCGTCGTCCTCAGACCTGCGTCAGGGTTCACGGGCCTTTTGAGAAAGTCGTTTTTTCTGATCCTCTTCCAAGCTAAACTGTATCTAAAAATGGAGAGAGCACAATCACAGTGGACTTCGTGAAGGGACTGTGCTTTAATTTTCTTCGACAGGCTTTTTTTCCTTGTCTGTGTTGTTCTGGAGCCCAGCGTGGGTTTGGATTTTTAAAAAACTTTTGCTACACCATTCCCTCTGTGATGTTAAATGCCCCTGGAGACTGGGTAGTGTTGTAGCTTGCTTTCAGGGAACGCTGTAGAACAGAGTGGCATTTATTCCACCAGCGTGTGGCTGTCTGAGCAATCATTGAGGTACAGGATCAGTGGCTGATTTTAATTTGAAACCTTAGGTAATGGGGAATAAAAGCACTTCTTATGTGTAATTTCAATATTAACATTAATTTTTAATGAGTTGAACAGTTTGCTGAAACACAAGAATATACTCTTACAAATGTCACAAGATCTTATATATTTTATATTTCTGTACTTAATTTATTTGTTTAATAAAACAATCTTCATATAAAGTGGGAATGTTTTTTTTTTTTACAATGTGGTAAACTAGAAAGATAATAATTAAAAACCTTTATGTGTCTCTGGAACAGCCTGTCTTGCGTAAACTTTTTCCTTTCCTTAAGTGTTCAAATTTTGGAGGATATATTGTTGGCCAAATTTTTGAAGATGATTATTTTGAGTTTTGTTTTTTTAGACTTGGGAAGTTGTCTAACAGATGGTGTGAGCAGACTGAATGTCCAGTTTCACTTAATTTCATGCATGTGTGGAGCCAGCTATGTAAAGCAGGACTGTCGGTAGAGAACATCTGTGCGTCAGTCCAGAATCTCATGGACTTCTGTGTTGAAAAGAAAACTGTTAATAAAGAAAAGCAATGTGCCCACTGGACTTCAGATGTTTTATTACTGTTGACGTTATTCCAGCTGACCTGTTGTTTTGCTTTATTGTTTCTTTGTACTGTAATGGGTTTTTCTGTCATCTCTCTATTAACCATATGAAAGTGCAGAACATCACTGCACTTATGCCACTTATTAACATGCAGACATGCCCTCCATTCAGGAAATAGGGCTGCTATATAACACTAAAGCAAAGGATCACCTGGACTAAGTCAGAAATTCAACTGCTAAGACTGGACCAACAGACTTGTACTGTCAAGGGAGAACCAAGATCCTCTTAAACAGATTCTAAAGAGGTTTTTATATTAGAATAGCTTCCTTCTCCAACATTTTTCTCTTCTTATCTTGAATTTACTGTAGCAATTCTTTTTTTTATTATTATTTGGATTTGTTATCTTGGCAGGATAAAACCATTAAGCCGGTTGTGCAGTACACTTCTCACTTTTTTTTTTACTTATTACAACATTTTTAAGCTCTCCGTATAAGGGTGAAAACAAATCGATATTTAACACAGTTTCTGTGGTAAGTTGGCAGACTGCCTGCCTGGCTACAGTATGTCATAACAGCCCTATTGATAGCAGCACTATGAAGTAGTAAGAAAAAACATTTATTTCAACTGATGCATTTTTTTTTTACACTTCCGGGCAATATTTACAAATTGTTACCTAAGCATAGTCTGGTGTTTCCTGCAATTTGCTAGCATCCGAATTGTTATTCTTGCTCCTGAGAGGGAGAACTTCCCACAAGCCTTCATGCTCTTAAATCCTCTAGCTGTTCGGTCTCCCCTCTCCAGAGACGCAGAGGATTAAGTGTGGGGATTTCAGCTGAGTTCCCTGCAATTGCTGTTTCGTCTTCCTGTCCCATACAGTTCCAAGCTGTCAAACACTGATGTGTTTTTTATAAACAGCTCAGTGTTAAAAAATGCATGATGTTTAATGAAGTAGAAACCATTTGGTTTGGTCAGTTATGATGTGATGTGGGAATTTTTTTTGGGGAAACGCCGGTGGAAAAAAAAACGGAAAACAAGGGGAACCCGGAAGGCCCAAGGGTAACCGGGTTTTTTACGCCAACCTGAGTTGTCAATTAAACAATTAACCTAATTATTTCCTTAATTAGACACATCTAGGATGTTGCAAAGGTCTTTTATATTTCATTACAAGTCACTATAAAACACTTTGGAACCACATTAGACATTGCAGTTATGCAGATAAATAATTAGAACCACTGTGTAACTGTGAGCTCAGTTGGAACAAAAGTCAGGACACCTCCAGGAATGCTGTAGATACTCTGCTCTGTGCACATTAAAAATGACTGCGTGTTTGTGTGTGTGTAATTACAGTAATTACAGTAATGGAACTCCTTATTGGACTATCCTGTAATGCACATTTGACATATCAATATACCAGTAACTTTCTTGTCAGTCCTTGTACCAAACCGAGCTGTTCTCTTGTATATCTATATATAATTAACTTAATTAGGTTATTATAATTAGTTAAATCAATCCATGGGTTCAAAATAATTTTTAAAATGGACTAAAAAATAATGGGTATAACTTAGTCAAGTGATACTCTTGAAAAAAGAAAGAAAATAATTTCTTGTCCTAGAGAAAGTCATTTTTTAGGGAGATATTTTTAAAGCTATTGTGTGTGTATGACTTTTTTATCTAGCACTAAGTTCATCCATCAGGAAAGGCGTAACCTTTTTACCCAGAGTGGCCATCTACATACTGTATAGCATTGCACAGCCAGTAACACTGAAAAAGCCTTTCCTAATCATTTTTAAAATATTTTTTTCTGGCTGTCTGGAGATACAGTATGTCCAATGAAGATATACAGCATTATATTAACGGATGACCTTCTTAAAATGGGAAAGGCAGAATTGTCTGTAACACTCCAACAACATTTGTTTCCTCTCCAGTCACCAGGATAATTTTTTATTAAAAGGGGCAGTTAGATGTGACTTAAATCAGAAAAATGCAAGTTCAAGCCAGAGCTACAAGCCTAACGAATCCTTGTTTGATAGCTTGGTCTTTAGAGGTTGTCTTGCTGGAAGCCGTAGTACAAACCAAAGAGCGGATTTAAGATTTCCACTGTTTTTCGTGTTGGTTTTTTTTTTACTAAGACTTTAAAAAGGACTTAAAATAATGTTCACGACCTCCAGCTTGTGTAGGATTTGTGCAGGTTGTGAAATTTAGCAGCTCTAGCCCTTTCAAGATTTGTAAGCTTCTAAGTTTTTGCTAATCTTTTGCTTTTATTTTCAAGATAGCCAAATGTATTTGTGTGGAGGGGGTGTTGTTCTCACTGGTGTCTTTCACATGACATCGATCCCTTTTTCTGAAGCGATATTACCGTGACGAAAGCAGCTATAATTTTCAGGTGTATTGGCATATCCCTGGAAATGAAAAAATATCTCCTAGAACACAGCCACAAAAATAGAATCATAGTGACCATTTCATTCCCAGTGTCACTTCACAACTGCACTAAACTGCTCTTTTCTGACTGAGGACGTCTGCAGTCTGTCTTGGCTCGCTACATCTCTGTCACTATCAAATTGTGTCAAGAAAATATATATAGGACTTGCGTGATTAAAAACATCTGACAAAATGTGTGCCCTTTCCAATACTTGTCTATCACCAGTGTCATCAAAGAACATTCAGTATATTTCAACACTTTATTCGTAGCTCTTGGTACATCAGCCCACGGCATCACCACATCCTGGAAATGAATGGTTTTGGAAAGTCTCACAACAAGGCCAGAGAGTATGGCCCCTCTATCTCATATCGATCTGCACCTGCTGCTCAGATCAAACTCGAAACAACTGAAGAAAACAGCCACTCGCCCACATTGTGAACAGCTTCCCGCTCTTAATGTTAGAAGGACATTCTTCTGCTCATTGTTAAAAAAAGAGACATGAATTAAAAAACGAAATGAATACTTGACGATAACCAAAGTTTTTTTTTAACTTTCGCCTTATTATCCATTATTTTCCTCCACAAAACAAGAGAATGAGGACTTTTCAGAAGATGTGGATGTAATCCTTCCCCATATTTCTGTCCTTGGGAGTAATTCAATAAGAACACACTGTAGGACGTTCAATATTTAAGGAATGGTCGTCATCCTCTCAACATTTACTATGGGGAAATGCATGTAAAACTGAGAACAAGAGGCTTTTCTTCATCCAAAGGGTTATGGGTCTATGGAACAGGCTACACAGCCACATTGTTCAACTTGACACTTTGGCTGTTTTATGAAACAGCTTGATGAGATCTTTAGGTCAATTAGCTTCCACCTTCCAAACTGGCTAAATGAGACTAATGGCTTCCTCTCGTTTTTAACCGTTCTTGCGGTCTCAAAGCGGATTTCTTGCTATTGTCGTGTGATGATAGCGATGTGTCACTGGGAGGAACTTGAGACCCCTCTGTGACTCTTTAGCTTGGCAGGAGGAAGGCTGTCACGGCACCTTGTGTGATGCTCGTCAGAGGCTGGAAAGAGCGAACAGCAGCCTGCAAGAGAGACCGTCCCCTTACCACAGGCTGGGGGTATTGTACGCGTCGGGGAAATTCACTCATCCAACAGCGCTGTACTCCACATGAGCATAAGCAGTTTCTTTGTTACACCGAGGAAGTATAAGATAACACTTTTTTAAAAGAAAATCAATTGAAGTAAAGTATAAGTCAGTACTGACATCATGTACTCTTGAGATAACAACAAATACATTCTTAGCCGTTAGTCTTTCCTCATATATATATATGTAAAGATGTAAAGATGATGCTTATTCCTAAAGTGCATTAAGCTGTCACCTAGTTACTCTTTTCCGATGTGACGGAACAGCAGATACTGTAGCTTAATGAGTGAGACGAGACCCTACTGACCTGCTGTACTGTAACGTACCCAGTCTGGCCTGATGGGAGATTTGGGAATGACAGTGCTCAATGAGTAGGGCTCTGTGGTAGAAAGTAAGTGGCTGATCCAGACAGCACATTGCATCACTGTGCTCTCTGCTGTCTCTGCACACTGACACACTGACATGTGTCGAGGGCGAGAGTGGAGTGAAGACGCCAGCAATGTGTTTTTATGAGGAACACATTTCACCTGAGCTAACAGGATCCTAAAACCCTAGGAGAAAAGATTACGTTTCCTGCCCTGTCACATCCTTTTCACACAGTGCCTATTGTGCCAGTAAATTAAAAAAAAAGAGCGTGCTGCTTTTCTGGGGTCTGTTGACAGCCCATCACCAGATGAGAAATTTTCTGTTGCAGCCTTTTCCATCCTTTTGGGCAGATTCTCCACGGATAAAAGCAATTTCCATCCTATTGATCTGGATGGAAAAAGGAATGCAGAAACCTCAAAGCAAAACTCTGCTACTGCCATTAGGTGGAATGTTCAATGTGGCAACCTTATACAGTATATAGGGAGTTAACAGTACATGGGAGTCGAGCACTGTGCAGGCCTTCCAGACAGAAGAGACAGATCTGTTAGGCATGACTACCTCCTGTCTGCTGGCTCTAGTGTTCCATGTAGCCATAGGACCAAGTGGGTAGATTGTAACTCTGTTTGAGCGGGTGTGGCTCAGAGATTGTACGAAACAGAGAGGCCTCCATCTATCATCATAAATGTGACGTTGTAATTGCGTCTTTCCTAAATTGAGCAATTCCACCCTTCCATTTTGAGAATGAGAAGTTAATGTAGTGACTCCTTTAGGGGTTTTGTTGCCAGTGAAGAAAGCATTACATACACTGTCAAGCTATTCTAAAAGAGTTACTCTAATTTATAATATTGCTCTGGAACAGGGTTTCCCAGTCCTGGTCCTAGAGGAGCACATACTGACTGGTTTTCCTTCCATTCAACCTTAATTACCTAATTGAAGCCTTAAGTGAACCAAGAAGTTGCTTCATAGAAATAGCTTTTGTTTTGTCCAAAAACATGTTCAATATTCTGAAAACAATGTTTAAAAAAAGAACGGAAACCTTTTAATGTACCAGACTAACAGCAT